GATAAACTAAATTAATTGTTGTTAAAATTTACCAACAGAAATAGAAGTAACACTGGCTACTTCTACAATTGTCGTTTATTTATCATATGTCTTTTGACTCAATATATTCTCTCCAGATTACTATATGTTCTATAAGAACAGTTGTAAATTATAAGGTAAGATAAAAAAATACCATCATTTTTCGAGAAATGCTTCATTTTAGTGAAATAAAGAAATTGTTTTCCTTGTGTTTCTTAAATAGTGGCCGATTGTGCCGTAAAATCGACTAATGTTATGACAAGACCATGTTATGTGTATATGTAGCAGTTTTTCATACAATATAGACTAAACTAGTACTAAACTAACTAGTACCGCAATTAAAAATCTGGTACGGAAACCAAAAAAATGTACCCAAAATTTATACACATTATTAAAATCTCTATAGAATATCTGATTATTTAATGTACTTATGTCCAATAAACATTTTTGACCCAAATGACATATTTTTATTGAGTGGCCATAACCGCTGGACCTGCCTTTCCAAAAATTTAATCAGTTCTTCATCTGGTCAATACAAGTAAAATGTTTTTTGAATTATTAAAATCGGACGCTCCGTTCTCTTAAAAACTGAGTTACCGTTTTCGGCACTCTTTGCCCCGTATCTTCGGAACGGCTAGACCTGCCTTCGCCAAAAACTAATCAGCACGTCTCTATTCTATTCTATTCTATGCAGTCTATTTAACTGCAGAATCGCTCAATAATAGGCAAAATATGTTGAAGGGCTTCTATATTGGTTAGAAAATTTAGATATTGTCTTAAATTTCATATTGAAACTAATATAAACTCTGATTGACATAAGTCTATTTATAAAGACTCAATCGCAACATTATATCTTTAATTGCCAATCACTGACAAATTGTTCTATCAACAGTAACACGAAATCTAAAAGAATAAATCCTAACTTTTGAATCAGATTTTGAGACGACATCAACGACTTTCTTCTGGTAGATTTAATGACCGTTTGTTCAAGAGCTTTAAAGTATCTAAGTTTATAGCTTGTTAAAGGTATACACATACATTATACATAATTTGGGTATTTAAGTTAAAGTACTTGTTAAATTTATATTTACATATCAAACCGACTAAAGTAGATGCAAGTATGCGATTTAATTCAATGCAAGTGTAACAAAACAGACCCATTCATTGTACCTTTCGTTATGCTCAGCCGATTGTGACGGTCGGTGTAAAATTTAGTATTATTATTCACCTATTTGGTAAGGGAGCCTATATCATTTTGAATTTGTGCATTATTTTTTTGGCAAAAACAGAATTGACCAGGATTAATTCACGAGGGCTTCACTTGGCAGATACTAGCTTAATCATAAAAATAGAGTAGTAGTATCGGATTAGTAATTGTGTGTGGGCTCTTTTGCAAATACCATTTTTTTAAACAAATATCTGAAACGTTTCCATGAGTCAGACTATTTTTAAAAACAAATTTGGTATTTCCTTTTGTTTAAATCACGAAGGAAACGCGCTTTAAGCAAAAAGCTGAATGTTTTTCATTTTTCTTTCAGAAACATTAATTCGTTTATAAATTTTAGGTTGTTTTGACTTGGCACGAAATCATATGCTTACAATTCCAAGTGCATAACATACTCGAAATCAGATTGTTTTGATAGATAAAAATGCGTCAAATTTTGTTGTTTAATATTTTGATATAAATATGTTATTCATGAGACCTGATACCATTATTAAACATTT